TTTAACCGTGAGGCTCCTTGCCTGGACTCTGGCCTTCGTCTGTTGTCTGAAGGCTGAAATAGCCATCAGGTGAGACGCACCTTATACCAGAGCAGGTTTCTTCTCCCTCCCCACCCTCCTCAGTGCTTTGGCCAAGGTCTGTGCCATGCTGAGGGGCTGCTTTCTCCCAACAGACACAACGCCCCGAGGACCAGGGAGAAGGATGGCCAAGGTCAGTTAGTGTCCTCAAGCAAGCCTCTGCAGCACCTTTTGCCTCAGTTTCCCCCTCTCTCTTTGGCTGGAAGCGGCTACATAGGAGGGCAAATTCTTCTTCTCCCTGGGACAATGTGGGTGGCATCCACGGCACCTCTGGTTTGCAATGCAGCGTCTCAGCCTGGAGCATCTGGAATGCCCTCCCAGTCGTCACTTCACGCTGGTGTCTTCCCCGGAGCATTTTCTGCAAACCGGACTCGGCACAGTGAGCCGTTTGCTCGCAGCGGGACGGGGTTTCGCTCCTCGTTTCACCCTCTGGGAAGAAAGAGCCGTTGGCGGCTTGGTTTAATGTATCTGGAGCTGCCTCGTGTGCCGCTCGCTGTTCAGTGTGTGCAAAACGGTCTGCAGCTGACGGATACCCAGGAGACCCAGACTTTGCTCGGCTGGGTGATGGACCAGGAGCCAACAGCTCTCTGGGGTTATCTACATAGAGGCTTAAATGTGTGTGATCATAAACCCGGGCCTGCCAGGCTGGTGATGTCATATGCAATACTGATGCTATCATGAAGCTCTGCGATGCCGCTGGCTCTGTGCATATGGTGTGGCGAGGCCTCCAGGGATGTGGGGGGGGGGACGGGAGGGGTCATGAGCTGCTCTCGCCACGTTCATCACCTGTCTTGGCATCCCACCAGGCTGATCTGCAATGTTCTCCCGTCCAGACACAGCGAAGGGGTGTCGGCCTCCATGTGAATTCAGGGCCCTGTTCATAGAGTCACACAATATCAGGGTTGGACGGGACCTCAGGAGGTCATCTAGTCCAACCCCCTGCTCAAAGCAGGACCAACCCCCAACTAAATCATCCCAGCCAGGGCTTTGTCAAGCCTGACCTTAAAAACCTGTTCACACCCCGCAGACCATAGGCGCCAACTCTGTGGGTGCTCCCCCCGCCCCGCCTCCTCCCCCCCTCCCAAGCACGCCGTGTCCCCGCTCCTCCCCCTCCCTCCCAGCACGTCCCCTCCCCCCCCCGCCACCTAACAGCTGTTTGGCGGCACTTAGGACTTTCCCGGAGGGAGGGGGAGGAGCTGGGACACGACGTGCTCAGGGGATGAGGTGGAGAAGGGGCGGAGACTTGGGGGAAGGGGTAGAATGGAGGCGGGGCGAGGGTGGTGCAGGAAGAGGTGGGGCCAGGGCGGGGGGTATCGAGCACGCACCGGGCAGAGGGGAAGTCGGCGCCTATGCTGCAGATGCTGCCTCGCGGGACACGGCGCGCACCCGTGGGAAACAGGAGCATCCCAGGATGGGAGGTGACCCCAAAGGGAGATGGGTCTGGCCAGATTTCCCCATGGGTGAGATCAAATCAACACCCTCCCACCCTCTACACAGGCACTCTGCAGACTGGAGCTCCCACCAGGATTCCTGTCTGTCCATCCGTCCCCGTCCCCACAGTGACTGAACACCTCCCGAATCATGTGAAATAGAAATAACAAGAGCCTTTTCCCCTCCTCCCTCTCTCGCCGGGAGCTTGTGACTGTGTTTGTGTATTTACACTGGTGTGAGTGTGCGAGGACATTGCAGAGGGTTTGCATGGGGTCCGTAGTGGGAATGAGTTCCAATGCAGCGGCCTGGGTCCCGACTCCCGTGCTCACGAGTCCCCCTATGGCTTGGCAGTTCCATTGTCCTAATGGAATGGCACTGCCAAGGGAGATCACGATTGTCATGGGCGAGGCGTCTCTCCCGTTGCTGTGGCCAGTCCCGCGGAGGGCTCCGAACATCAGGCCAGAGACCTTGAACTGGACTCTGTTTCCAAGGGGTGGCCTGAGCGGAGTGGAGCGTTGGGCTGATGTCTTTCTGGGAGCCCAATGCTGACCCATGCAGTGGGGCTCTAACCCCGGTCAGCGGCTATTTGGGAGCGATGGATGGTGGGTTGAGTGGAGGCCATGTTGGCTCCTCCGTCTTTGCTTATGGAAGGCAGTCTTTTCTCAGAAAGGGTGAGGAATTCTTTGTTGTCATGCTCAGGGATATGAGCAGGACTGAGGAGATAACAAACCAGGGCTGATGTATATCAGAGACCTTCCTGACAGTGAACTGTAGTAGATTGTGGAGTTGTTCCCCAGGGAAGAGGTGGGAGCCCCAGGGCTTGGATCTTTTAAAGGTCAACTAGACAGAGCACTAGAAAATCTATCTATGTCTTTTTCTATTGCTGTGGGAGCAAGTTACCGAGTGAAGTGTACATCCATGCTGGCATACCACGCCAACACCTGAGCTGTCTAGACCTGCATAGGCAAGTGCTTAGATATCGATTTTTAGGGCCAGAAAGGACCATTATGCTCATGTAGTCTGACTTTTTATTCTTTGAGAGCCAAGGTGGGTGAAGTAATACCTTTCGTTGGACCAACTTCTGCAATACAAGATATTACCTGCCCAACCTTCTCGCTAATATTCTGGGGCCAACGCTACACTGCTTTTATTTTTTGTATTATCGTAGTCATGGGCCCGGCCCCCATTGTGCTAGGGATGGGTGAACTATGGTCAGACCTTTCCCATCTGAAACATCTCTGATCCTCTGAAGAAGGCACAGCCGAGCCCCAGGGTTTAGAGCAGGTGAAGGGGTTCTCCTGGCCCAACGCATAAGCGCGTTCCTCTCTCACATGTCCCTGGTTTTCTGCCATCCTTGGTGAAACAATTCCACTGGCCAAAGTGTTGACGCAGACTGGTCCTGACGGGTACCTTGCATTTCCCCCGTCTTGGCCCGTTTAACCAGCCTGCACAATGCCTGCTCCTCTTGTTCGCTACAGACCATCAGCTTTTCCTCTCTCTCCTAATCTGCGTGTCCCCAGTTCCTCCCTCTCTTTAGACAGGACACGCTCTCTGATGTTTCTGGTACTTTCATTGTCGCCTTCGGGCTCTCTCTGGTTTGCAAATCTCCCAGGGTTGTGAGGCAGACAAAACACCAGGCTCCCACCAGGTCCTCTGGCTCAGGCCAGGGCACACTGTCCAGAGAGGGCAGTCCTTGGGCTATCCCGTAGGCATGACACGGTCTCAAATACAAGTGACGGCTGCCTTGGGCACAAACAACTGCAGATGCCGTGCACGAGAGCTCATAACGGCACACCTGGTGCTGTATTTTGCACCGCCCGCAGGTGTGTGAGGTGTGGGGATGGGAAGATGAGGTCCCTGTCCCTCATTACCATTAGCAGGCGGTCATGCATGGATATAATACACTCACACCAGCCTATTACTGGCAGATACTGAGTCATTGGGTGCGATGTTCCCTGGCTCTGCACTCTCAGGAGCGGCGCCAGGGTTTTTGCCGCCCTAGGCGGGGGTCCTTCCGCGCTCCCGGTCTTCGGCGGCAATTCTGCGGCAGGGGGTCCTTCTGCGCTCCCGGTCTTCGGGGCACTTCGGCGGCGGGTCCCGGAGCACAGAAGGACCCCCCACCGCAGAATTGCTGCCGAAGACCCGGAGCGCGAAAGGACCCCCCGCCGCAGAATTGCCGCCGAAGACCCAGAGCGCGAAAGGACCCCCCGCCGCAGAATTGCCGCCCCCCAAATCCTGGTGCCCTAGGCAACCTAGGCGGTCACCTAAATGGAAGCACCGGCCCTGTGCACTCTCCATTAAATACAGGTGCCTGCGGGTCTGTGGAGTTTCTTACTCTTGCCCTGAAAACAGTTCAACCCCAGAACAGGTCAATGAAATTTGGGCTCCAGTCGTTTCCCCGTAGCCACCTCCCTCTCTGCACATATGCCGTCTTTGTATAATACTGTCGCTCAGCCTGGTGGGCTGCCCATGTTCTCAGCGCTGACGTCACAGAGCAGGGGGAGAGGAAATCCCGCCACGGCAGGCGTCAACGAGCGACGTCCTCTGGCCTGTGTTCTGCAGGAGGTCAGGCCGGAGGATCGCACGGGCCCCTGTTGGCCTTGACCTCTGTGACTCTTTTGTGTCACTGACCAATGGGTAGTGCTTGGTCCTTATGTCCATGACATGAGAATAACGTCCATCTGAGACAAGCTGGAATGTACTAACTCCTTATACAGTCCATGGGTGGCGTACCCAAGCCCACTTATCCACTGACGCTTTAAAAACTCCCGCACCGCAATCTGGGTCTATGCTGGTTATGTGATATGTATGTATCTTTTCCTCCTTGCGACCGATCCCTGTAATCCCTCAGAACTCAAGCCTGACCCCAGATGTACAGTACCTTCCCCCTTAACTTGTGTATATTTCATTTTAAACATTCACTTTAATACAATGTTTAAATCTGTTCTACCTGTGTGTGTGCTCTACAGAGGATAAGAGACCTAGTACTGCTGCCAGCTCCTTTTGCTCAGGTGTCGGAAGTTGTTGTTCTGGCAACAGAAGCCCCAGGGTCCTAGGCCCAGCTCCCAAAGTGTGTGTGTGAGTTGCACAGCTTTGGCTGTAGTAAGTTGCAGGGCTAACGCACGCCTCGAGTGTGTCTGCTCGGGGGGTTATGCCCTCCTAAAGGGCTGGCAGCCAGCTGGCAGACACACCAATTAGGGAACCGGGTCCTGTGGGTGACCTGCTGGCCAGGTTCTGATGCACCGTAGAATCCGGCCCTCCCAAGCAATACGGGGAGCCACATGGAGTCTTTAGAGTTGGAAGCTGGATGGTGGGGTTGGCTTTGTTGCCTCTGCCCATGAGGTCCTCCTGGGTCAGTTTCCATTGCATAATAACGGCAGTGAAATCCTTCTGCATTCAGCGTGTCCCCGCCTCTCTGCGCTTCCTCCGTCGCACAGACCGGAGCGACGAGGACGTCCCCATTAGTAATCTGGGTCTCTGCTTCCCGGCAGCCTCGCCCAAGGAGCCAGTGCTGATGTGCCGATCCAACAACTACCCCAAGGGATTCTACTGCAGTTGGCACCTACCCAGTCCCACGTACATCCCCAACGCCTTCAATATCACCGTCATGTAAGTGCCTGGGTCCCTGGGGGAGGGGAGAGGAGGGGAGAGTTGCCTCTTTGCATGGGGCAATTTTGTCTCCAGACTGAGGGCCAAATCTGGAATAAATCTGGAGTCGCTCCTTGACTGTGTGTGGACAGGAGCTGCTGGCTCCTCTTCGCATCCGGGTGGAGTGGGGAGCATAGGGGAGTTTGCACTGCAGCTGCCCACTGTCCTTGTTCTGTGGATGAATCAATGGGTTTCTGGCTCCAGGGCTGTCAGTCAGCACAAAATCCCTCTTCCCGACGGTTTCAAGTCGCGGAGAGCGCATGAGCTCGGGGCGTCCCCTTTGGAAGGAGATAACCTCTTGGGCGCTGGAGCTGGCATGGCACCTTGTAGCCCCGGGAGGTGGGGTTGCAGTGTTGGACTGGGGGTGATGGCAGAACCGAGGCAGAAGCTGAGAGACGCCCCCTTGTCTGCGCCTGCAGAGCCGTTTCTAAATGGGTGCAGTCGCCCCCATCCACAGCACGGGAGGCTGGGGCAAGGCCCAGCTCAAACGCCAGGTCACAATCCCACGACACACTGAGAAAGGGGGAGCAGGTCAGCCCGGGAGCCGGAGAAGAGTTTCACCCTGAAAGTGAAGCCAGAAAACAACAGGCTTCATGGCTGGGTTTGTGAGAAGGTGGAGAGTGGCAGGGTCTGCCTAAAGATAGACCCAAACTGGGCCACCAGACCCAACCGTCCCCGGCTTTCACCACACAGCCGGAAACCCCTGTGACGGTGCAGCTGAGGCCTGAGCCAAAGAGGAGGGCCCAGGGGAAGATGGAGGAGCGAGGAGTCTCCCTAAGGCTGAGGGCAGGTCTGAGCTGAGAAGAGACATGATAATTAAGGCCAGGCTGGAGCACAGGGATACCAGCATGGCACCAGGCCTGGACCCCAGTGAGCCTGTCCCGCTGAGCGCTGATCCTCGGGGTAACGCCTGATTTCTCTTCTTTTCTGGTTTTGACAGGCATGGCCCAAGAGAGTTGGTCTGTGAGAAAGACGCTTTCCCCAAAAACAGGTGTCACATCAGATATCTCCAGCTGTTCTCCACGGTGAAGTACAAGGTGACCTTGACAGTCACGAATGCCCTGGGCAGAAACGCCACCACAATCACCTTTGACGAGTTCGCCATAGGTAACTTCCCCGGCCGGCGCTGGGCTCTCGGAGCCGGGCGGGCGGTTTGACTGGTTCTGAGTGTGGCGCGCGGCTGCCTTTCTTAGTTCCTGGGTGGTAGTGCGGGGGAGAGGTGCCAGGTTGACAGCCTTGGAACAGAGCCTTTGTTATCCACAGAACGGGATTATCCAGGGCAAGGCATGGATGTGTCCTACTCATGTTGTGCAGGGACTCCCTCGAGTCAGAAGAAGGGAATATGGTCTCCGTGGTCCATATAGCCCATTGGCTCCTCTGCTGTTGGAAAGAGGGTCCATGCCAACTACGTGTTGCTTCACTGAGTGTTTTGCTTAGGACATGGGCTGTGACTAGGTTCTGCCAGTTTTGGTTGGACGTATTCCTGGGGGTTTCATCCCCTGACACAATCTTTAATTAAAGATTAATCTTTTAATTATGGGAAACTCCAGGACAATCCTGGTGGGTTGGTAGCCCTAGCTGTGACCGCTAGTTAGGTCATCAAACAGCTGTCCGATGACAATGCCATGTGGTCGCCACAGAGCGAAGCAAGATTTGAACAGGCAGCCTCCGAGCCGTCCGATTCCCAGCTTACGGCCTGGCGCGTTGCCTGTTTCCCATCGCGGGCTGCCGGGATCAGAGGAGATAACTGAGCTGTCAGAGCAGTCCCCAAAATATACGCTCAGCTCCTTTCTACTCAGACGCGGCTTGGGGCGGGAAGCAGGCCTCCTTTGGAGCGGCTCCACTGTCCGCCTCCCATTCTGAGCAGGGAGAAAGAAGTTCCCACAGGGAACGGGTGCATGAAAAGAGGGGTTCGCTGTTTGCACCAGACTTACTCCGTCCCTGTTTTCACTCAGCCAGTCAGGGAGCAGAAATAATAGATCGGCTGCCCAATCACATGCCACAAGCAATAGACGGTCACAATGAGTAATTCAGGAACAGCCTATAGGCCGAGTTGTGGTCCCTAAAGCAATGCATCAATAGTTCCCTTGTCTCAGGTTCCGTGTGGTTTGGTATCAGCTTCGTCGAGAGATGCAGACATCTCTTAGGAGAGGGAAGAGCCACCAGAAACACAGCAAACAAGTGGGATACGCTGTTGTTATTGAGCATGTGCACTGCGTTAGCACCTGGAGGCCTCGGTCTAGCCAGGGCCCCCTCGTACCGGGTGCTTTCCAGACATACACTAGAAGCCCATTCCTGCCCAGTAAATGCACAATCTTCATCCAAGGCAAGAGCTGGGTGACAGAAGCGAAGAGGAGAAGGAGGATTAGCTGTGGTAGCGTTATTATTTATGTATATAAGCCTAGCCCGTAGGAGCTCTAATCCCAGACCAGCACCCTGTTGTGCTAAGTTCTGTGTCCGCAATTCATAGGTGCCCATTCGGCGGCAATCTCAGCCAGCCCCCTGCCCAGCTGTAACGTACAACCGAGCCTTACTGAACAGGCGGCCGGGCTTCAGGCGCCAATAGACCCACATGGGGGCACCTCGCGTAACCTCTCACTGGAACGCTTGTTGCTATTCTATGTGTAATAACGGTGATCATCACACGGCTGCCACAGAACCCAAACAGAATAGAACCTGGCATATCTCTAGCGTCCCACATCTCAAGGGAACCCAAAGCCCCGTACAAGCCACAGATGAATGACATCATCAGTGGTATCAGACTTTCCATTTGGCTTTGATTCTGTCTGTTTAGGCCTAGACAAGCTTTGGCTGAGTCGAGGAGCATCTCAGACTTTGTCATAAGTTGCTGGATGGAGCAATTAAGGTGAAACGATCACAGATATTCTTGTGTTTCTGGTTCTGGCCAAAACCAGACCAAAAACATAAACGCAAGAATTAACCAACTGGCCTTCAGTTTCCATCAAGATTCAAGTTTTCTTCCATTTGAGTTGGGAGATAAGAGCAAAGCCCAGAAACAAATAAAACAATGTGTTGGTTACACGAATGCACCATCAATTATTGGGCCATAGGAGCAAGGAAATGATGTCCCTGCAATTCAGCCAGTGTTCAGGCAACGCATAGGTCAGTTCAGGGAGAGAGAAAGATGGGCAAAATCCATGGTTGGTGTAAGCAGGTGCAACTCCATGGATTTCAGCTGAGTTGCTTTCACTCACGCCAAGATGGATTTGGCCCCTGTATGGTCCTAAATTCAGAAAAATTCAAACCGGAAATAAAGCACCAAATCTTAACAGTGAGGTAACTATGAACCCCGTGGGTCCTGTGTTTGTACAGCACCTAACACAATGGAGTCCTGGTCCGTGACAAGGGCTCCTAGCCACTACAGTAATACAAATAACAAATCCTAATAATAGCAGTTGGAACAACTAGCCCAGGGCTGTGGTGTATTGTCCATCACTTGGCGTCGTTAAATCAAAACTAGCGGTCTTTCTAAAGACACACTCCTTAAACTAAGGCGACCTCTAGTTCCACTACAGGTTGTTGGACTCAATGCAGGAATCACTGGGTGAATTTCTATGTCCTGTGTTATGCAGCAAGTCACACTAGATGATCATACTGATCCCTTCTACCCTGAACATCTCCAGAAACGATGTGTTTACACCTGCAGAGAGTAAGGGGATAGACGCCCCAGTGAGGAGTAAGTGGTTAAGTAGGCAACTGGGGAGCCGGCAGAGAAATTATGGGAGGAAGTCATCGGCAGAGAAGGAAGTCTACTCGAACCTTCCTACACCACCCAAATTGGGCCTCTTTTGAGGTCTCAAAGAGCTTGCTTGACTTTAAATAAATATTTAGCAAATGAAGCAAATCAAAATCAGAAAGGCTAAGGCACAAAATGAGTTACACCTAGCAAGGGACATAAAAGACAAGAAGAAGAGGTTCTTTAAATACATTAGGAGCAAGAGAAAGATGAAGGAAAGTGAGGGTCCTCTACTTAGTAGGGAAGGAGAGCTAATAACTGGTGACATCAAGAAGGCTGAGGTGTTTAATGCCTGTTTTACATCTATCGTCACTAAAAAGGTCACTAATGGGGACCAGATACTAAACACAATTAATAGCAACAACAAGGGGGAAGGAATGCAAGCCAAAATAGGAAAGAACAGGTGACCCACTATGGCCGTTCTTAGGTTCTTATTAAGTGGGGTTTTCAACAGAGTTAAACTACCCTGACTGAACTAACTTGATTAAAATTAGAAGGAGGTATCTACCCATCAGAGGAATGAGGAGCAAAGCCTTCCACTAGGCATAGTTTGGGGAAACAACCTGACTAGTTTGAAGATGGAGTTTGATAAATTTATGAACAGGATGGTATGATGGGATTGCCTGTGGTATCAGGGGACTGGACTCAATGACCCAGCAAGTCCCTTTCAGTCCTGTGTTCCTAAAATAATCCACCTTTTTATCCTAGTTTAGATAGGCCGTTGCCATCTAACCCTCGTCTGAGTGGTGGAGGTAAACACGCCTGAGAACTGTCTATACTAGAGCCTCCACTGGTTGGGAACTATGGCCCCAGAAACTCCTAGTGTAGACACATCCAGCAGTAAATTCAGATGCAGCCTCAGATTAAAGGCTCTTCCTCCCCCCAGAAGCCCAGCCACGCATGCAGGAGCTTAGTAGACTCTCCCTGACTCCCTCTGAATGGAATTGAATTGAATCTCAGTTGAGCGTGGAGCTAGTCTGCCACTTGTTTCCTTGTCAGACCACCAGCGATGGGGCCCATCTAAACAGCCAGAGTCCTGGGAAGAACTAACCTTCTTTGGTGCGTTTCCTCCTCTCCCCTGCTCCAGTCTCCAGCGGAAACCCCCCTCCCCAGCAGCTCAGAAGATGAGCTCTAATTGAGTGGAAAATGACTGGCCCATTCTTTTGATGTCCTTTGCTGCTGCCTTGCTTGCCGGTCACATAGCGCTGCTCGTTAGCATCCAGCTGCAAGGAGTCACTCTGTGTTGCCATTTTAAATGATGGCTGCAAGATGTGTTCGATCCCTCCGGCCGCCGTCTCTCATCAGTAAGGAATCTGGGCTGCTGTCCTCCCCTCTCTTGCCTGGAAATGGTTTTCTGAGTTGTGCTTTCTGCAAAGGTAGCAGTATTCGCTGAGGCTGGGAGAGGAGCTCGGAGCTCAGGGCAGTCAGGAGTGGGGAGAGGAGCCAGGGCAGCTAATGCACCCCTTACCACGCTTCACAAGCCAAACACCTCTGCTCTTTGCCCCAAAGGAGCATGGGAGCAGATGGACCAGTGCCATCAGCAGAGAAGGGAGAGAGCCTGGAGAGAGGGGGTGGGTCGTGGGTGTGAGCAGTGAGAGTGGGCTAGGGGAGCAGGTGGAGGCCTTGGAGCAGAGACACACAGAGAGGGACTAGGTACGGTGACCGAGGGAGCTAGAAACTCTCAGGGCATAAACTGACTATTAGCTACGGCAGCTCAGGAGAAAACTTCCCACGGGGGCAGACTGTCCCGTCACCGGCTGTCTGAAGCAGCTAGGGCTGGCCACGCTCAGAGACAGGATTCCAGGCTAGATGGGCCCCCGTCTGATCCATCCTGGCAGTGCCGAAGTCCCTGTAGGCAGCGTGAGCCGGCAGAGACACGCTGGCGAGGCGTTACAGTGGGACGAGAAGGAGCAAGCCCGTGCCTCAGCTGTCATAGGCACGTGGCCCAGTTCAAAAGGATCCTCTCCCCAGGGAGGGTGAAGAGCAGGACATTCTGGGTTGGGCAGGGGGAGGACAGCCAGAGGTTACTCCTCAGAAAGGGCTTGGACTCTGATAGGGCCGCCTGGGTGACTCCCCCTGTGCTTCCAGAGGACACGAAGGGGGTGTCTACACTGCAGTAGGCACCCACAGCTGGCCCAGGCCGGCTGCCTCAGGCTCGCGGGGCTCGGGCTAAGAGGCTCTTTAAATGCAGTGTTAGACATTCAGGGTCAGGCTGCAGCCCGAGCTCTGGGATCTTCCCATCAGGGAGGGTCCTAGAGCCGATCCCAGCCCGAGTCAACTGGCACGGGCCAGCTGCGGATTTTCAGTTGCAGTGTAGACGTACCCTAAAGTGCCAAGGAAAGGGGCGAGA